ATACTCGATCAACGTATTTGTCTTGAAGGTCGGTGTGGTGGTATCCGTCTTATGATCTTCATTGCGCTGCCTATTCCTCTGTTTGTCTATCGCAGTATCATGAGACAAAATGAACTCTAACAAAATATTAGAATGCTTACCAAATTTTCGAAAAAACGAGTTGGTGCTCTCAGATCTGGAGGTGGTTTTCATTAAACAACATAAAGGTATCTCCCTAAAGTAGGATGGAATCCAATTGGTTCGCATTTCAAATACATCCTCAAGCCATGGGTGATTATTAAGGTCAAACTCATTCAACAAAGACGCCCATTTAACCTCAAATTCATCAGGTTCAAGGTGTACACTCCATACTAATTTCAATAACCGTTTTCTGAAGTTTGTATTCAAAATGATATCAGAACCTACCTGCATCATAACATCGCTATAAGTAAGTCAAATTTGCAAATCGCATATGATACACTACTGCAATCACATTTTTATCCCATGATTATCACCGATAACACTAAATATAATGCTACTTTCAATCACATGTGATAAAACATTCAATACCTTGGCAGGTAGCTTCTTCATGATATGCCACATACATAGGCGATGTCTAGCATCAGGAAACACAACAGGAATTGCTTCTTTAATGGAAGCATCTTGATCAGTCAAAACAAGGGTCGGTTGACGACCATGAACCTTCAAGAATGACTCCAACAACCAGGTATATGCTTGGATAGTTTCCTCAGTGATCAATCCTGACCCAAAAACAACTGATCTCCTATGGTTATCAATACCGATGAATGGTAGAAAAACCATGGTATACCTACGATGAGAAAAAATAAAATATAAGCCGAAACCATAAAAATTAATAAATCCAAATTACGATAACATTACATTAACGTACTTGTTGAAACGATATGTCGCATCAAATGACATAACATCACCGAACTCTGCRTAGTTCAACCTTGTCAACTCGTTGGCCCAAAACATTGATACCAAACGACCATTGTCAATTTTATACTCAAATRCAAAGTTTGTCCCATATTGTCTTCTGTCGTTCAACATGTTTACCACCATTTGCACATCTCCATCACCAATGTAGTTATTGAGATCCCTCTTGAAATTCTTATAATCAACAACAGTAGAACCAACTTCATCATATCCACCTTTCAAACAAACCTGCAACTTGTGGGCTCTTACAGGCCCAATATTTGACCTTACCGACCGGTGAACCATAACTTTGTCATCATAGCTGAGTTGCCTACTCTTACGTGATAAAATTCTATCAGCATCATCAATCAAATCATGGTTATGGTTGGGACAAAAATAGTATAATCTATATGATGATTGAGACCCCTCTATGTATTTAAACCTAACAGATGCTTTACAATCTGTAACTTTAAAGTTTGTATTTCGTACTTGTCTACGATGTCCATCCACTTCAACAGAGTCAACCGACCTCTTTTTTGGTTTCCCATGCTTATGACAAACAACATATTTTAGTTTGACTATACCACCCTTCCTTGTCTTCTGGGTTGATAGTCGAATATCAAACCCGGCAATGTCGGCATACCTTCGATACATTTCAATTCCATCCTCCAAAGATGCAAAGATTGATCCAACAACCGGTTGAAATTCACTTGGAACAGATGAGATACAAACTCCATCACARCAAGGACTTCCAATCACTCYTTGAGCTGGTAACACAAAATGATCTATGAAACAATTATCAATAGTTATAAATAAATAAAACAATATACATATAAACCAACTTAACAAAGTCTCATATGACATAATAAAACTAAACACAATTACTATTAAATTAAATTCAAAACAAAATCAACCTCATCAAGAMACATTACAGTAACATACAATTGTAGCTATGAGATGTTTATCACATGTGATAAACATCCAAAATTCTCACTTACATAGATATCACAATTATAATTATTGATTTGGTGTTACAAGTTGAAGGTGATATTAACCATCTTGATTACAAAAATAGCTATCATTTTTCACTTGCTGATTTACATTATTTACTAGCATCAATCATATATCTAATATCACATCTATCACACCATTATCACAGCTATCACACCATTATCACAGCTACTGTGATCACTAGTAAGTCGATGTCATCAACATTTTGGGTGTCAAAAGCAGTTGTTGCTGCATCATTTACATAAATTTAATGAAAAACGAACCAAACAATATCCACATACATATAAACATCCAGTTTATCACATGTGATAAAACATCAAACTTTTCAATTTAAAAAGTAGCGAACTAAAAAAATGGGATGTTTATCACATGTGATAAACATCAAAATTTTCAATTACAAAAGTAGAATAACATTAAACTCAAATCAACATATACCAAAAACAATAAATGGACAAAAAATGTGTATATTCACAAGTCTTTTTACTTTTTATCACATGTGATAAAAACCCCAAAAAACCATTCATGAAAATTGATGACATATTTTAATGTTATCACATCGTACCTTCTTCGTCGTTATCAGAACTACTTTCATAAAAGTTGTCTTCAAGAAAACAATCTTGAGAAAAGCCCACAGAATCGTCGTTTGAATAACTTGATCCTGAACAAACTTCCTTACCAACAACATTCAAGTCGTCCATTTTAGATAGACAAAAATATGGACACTACCGAAATGAAGAAAAGAYGTTAACCCATCGACTATGTGTAGATTATGATGAACGAGAAAGAAAATACGCTTGAATGAAGGAGAAGCATGAATGAAGGAGAAGAAGACGTGGAAACGTGAAGATAAACATGGTTAATTAAAATAAAAAAAATTATAAAAATTACTTAATTACATTACTGTCTTATTAAATTATTTATATATAATAAAAGTTAATTTATTAATTAAAAAAGTTTGTGATTATTTAATTGTTCTCGCGTTTTCGTAAATCACATGGGTTCTCGCTTGAACCTCCATCATATATATATATATATATATATATATATATATATATATATATGTTTTTGTGTGTGTGTACGCATGTATTTATGTAATTTTGCATCGTTAATTATATAAACTTCAATAATACTATTGTCTTTAATAATTTCACAAATTATACTCGTAATTTTTGAATTTTAGATTAACTTAATAAATTATATTATTAATTATGAATTAAATTATTTTGTTATACTAAAACGGACATTTTTATTATTTAAAAATCATTTAGTTTTTAAAATAAGTTGAATAAGTAACCAATTGATTATAACTTAAACTGTAAATTGATATAATAGATTAAAATTTAAAAGACTTTTTATATAAAAATACACATCTCTCAAAATTGAGGGACCCAAATTACATTTGTGAAAAATCTTTTAATATTGATATGAATGAATTCTATCACACCAAATTTAGGTGACTTTGTGCTACCCATATTCAACAAGATTTATTGTTTGTTGTACGGATGTAAACAAGTTTAGCCGAGTAATAGGTTAATCGAGTCGAGTTCAAAAAATTAATATAAAACTCGAGTTCGACTCGAGTTCGATTAACGTTTCAATGTAGGGCTCGAACTCGTGAACGATTAACTCGTTTATCGGCTTGAGCTCGATAATTTTTTATATTTTTATTGTATGATTAATAATATATGAGCATGTTTGGCTAAAAAAAGAGTATGCTCGAATGGCTAGGCTCGACTCGAAAAATTGAATCGAGTTTTCAAACGAGCCGAATCGAACATTAGTGTTACAAAGCTCGGTTCGTTAAGCAAAACGAGTTCAATTGTGTTTCGAGCTCGAGTAGCTCGTTAAAGCTCGTATCGTTTACACTCCTAGTCTGTACCAATTTTTATGGATTTGGTGTCAACCATGAGAGATAGGTAATGAACGTAAATAACCGTTTTAACCGATTAAATTCACCTCCTAACCGGCTGAAATAACTTTTAAAAGTGTAGCTTATAAACTAATTGATATGTTTACCAAACAAAAACGTTTCCATAAACTCAAAAATTAAATATTATCATAAACATGCATTTTTATATAAAACCACACTAAATACACATATTATTAAACAAAGTTCAAATACATCACCAGAAATGAACAGCTTATTCCCCTGAACTGCAACTATTATATAGAATTTGCTTATATAATGGTTTCTAAACTTCATAAATCAACATGAGAAGCATGATGAACACAAATGAACCATCGTCCATCGATCTTCTCAAACACATTCGTCGCAAACTGGCGACCCCAACTTTTACCCGCTGTTCTCACCATTTCGACACACGTAGCGTACCCCATATCGCCTCTGACATGAACTTGCACATCTTTCACCTCAATCGATAACGGAAATTCATAATCCGCCCACACGAATTCCCAGCTTCCCATTACAAGTTCGTAGCCCGATATGCCACTAACACCTGGATGCACAACGCATACATTCTCGCTTTTTGACCATAATTCTTGCATCGCGGCTAAATCACCATTTCTAAATGAGTTGTAGAAACGGGAATTTGCAGCTAGAACTGCGGTTTTGCTATCCTCGTGAAGGAGTTTGAGGCTATCACGGATTTTTGCAGCTTGGGCATAGTTTTCTTCCTGAATGGCTATTTGTAGTTCCTGTTCTAAGGTTTGTTCGTCTAATACGATGCTTTCACTGCTTAAGGTTCCCTCTGAATCTTCTCTCTTGGCTTGACATGGCGTTAGAGAACACGAAGATCGGCGTCGAAAAGATACTGCACTGAATAAGTACAAAATTAGATGAATGTTTGGCTAAATGATGATGATGTCTTCAAAAAAAATAAACCCTTTATTCCTCTTATGGTAAGTTGGGGCCTTCTTGGAAACAATTTCTCCGTCTTTGAAATAGAGGTAAGATATGCGTACATCTAACCCCCAAAACCTACATTCGGGTGGGATATATTGGATATGTTTGGCATGGTTTAGAAGTTAAATACAACATATTACTCCGTCCATCCCAAAATAAATGTCAATAATGGAAAAGGCCCACAGGCTTTTTATATGCGTAACTGTTACACTTTTCAATTAACTATGACTATTTTACCCTTAATAATAGGAGTGATTAATTTATCCATCTCATACTTAAAGGTACAATTAGACACTTATTTAGCACAAACTAAAATAGAATATGGATAGTTATTTAGGGACGGAGGAAGCAGCATAAATTGTCCTTGTATGCCCATTTTAGGCGACCATGTAGGCAAGATTTGTGGGAGTGTCTTCATGTAAAAGCAACCAAAGCTACGAGAGCACCATGCTATAGAACAAAATGCACAGATGAAAGACACTTGCATTCCGTTAACATAACCAATATACGTTTTCCATGAATAATATTAAAAGAAGGTGATTTGGGAAACCTAATTAAAGAATCTAATACAGAATATTTTAGGTCATAACAAATACGATACGGATGATACAGAAATGTTACCGGAGCTTAAAATATAATAAAATGGTATGAAACAACACGGAATCATACAAAACTCTAAACGCATATATGGTATGTAATGATATGGAACACTATAATATGGTATAATATGATACGATAGGCAAGGAACGACACGAATAATACAATTCAAAATGTCTAATAAAATAACATTTTAATAAATTGACCTAATTATCAAAAAGTATCTCCATATGGCTGATAATGAGATTTGAATTTTCTAAAAGATACAAATGCATGATATGTTGAAGTTTCTTAAGAATTTATGATATGAGAGTGCATACAGCATGTGTACATGTGTGTGTGCTTGTGGATTTGCAATTATTCTACAATCACCTGGTAGACACATAATCTTTAAGTTGCCCTAGAGTTCCGTTGAGTGAATAATATAAGATCCAAAAGAAAAAGCCTTTTAGTTCCAAAAGAGCCTTCATTAACCGGCATTTTTGCCTAAGGCTAACAGCATCATCTCTCCATCCCTGGATGATGTTGATCCTAAAAAATAATAGGTATCCTTCCAAACTAATTTCACCTTGACATGGTCTCTTTAAAAAACATATAGACCATAACTTAAGATTTCCTCTTAAATTTAATTAACCATAAATACTTAAAAGTAGATATCAAATCCCACTCTCTCAACCAGATCGAGTTCAAACCGGCTCATGAAACCGAAACCATCCTATTAATAAAGTAGTTTTTGGAAGAGCATGACTTCAGTCCAAGTGAGACACTAGACACAGGCACCCGAGATAGCAACAATATGCAAGTGACAACGATCTGGCCACTCGGTAGCACCTTGTTGCCTGTAAGATACCTTGGTCATTGCTTTCTACCCTGTATTGAGCTCAGACCAAACATGGCGGTGGCTTTGGATTCCCACAAGAGAAATTAGTTCTAGCACTATTCTTCGGCTGAAATTACCATGTGAGAATCATTTTAGTTTCTAGATAACATATTAGAATACACTTTACCCACATAATACGACATTTTAACACAAACAGGCACACTATGAAAGAAGGTTTCGCCCTTTGTAAAAGCAGCAATATTTCATGAATTACCTCTTATAATTTTCAATTGAACTTGTAGTTTGAGGTATTGCTTTATTAAATTTCAAGTCCTAAAAGACAGACAACTACATAAACGTAGATACGAAAGCATACAAAATATCCTCCATAAGAATTCTGACTTATAATGTTTATAGACAAGTTGTAATGAACTAAGAGATGCAATATCTTCCATATCTACTAAAAGACGAGTGAACAAGCCAGTGTCAGACTCGCAATTGAAGGTTAATCCCTTGACATAGTAACTTTAAAATTTTCATAATTAATAAGCTCAATAGCAAGAAGTAATTGAGGGATATTACACATACACATATATAGGGAGAGAGAGGCTTATATATATGGTAATCATATTAGGAAATAGTACCAATTATTATTACCATAATTAACTAGTTCGATATATAGAAGACTAGTTGAGGTTTGAGAATAGATGGTATACTTGAAAATAGCTCTATTATCACAATAATTAAATAACCCTATTATTACTATAATCAATCAGCTCTATATACAGGAGATTAGCTGAGAATAGATGGTATGCTTCATTTAATTTAGAGTTACAGATTGAATTAAACATATTAATAGAGAACCTGCCTCTCAAAACTAGACAATTCAGTATTTCTTTGCTATTTTATCAATAAAAGCGTGTTGGGTTCCTATCATACAGCCAAACATCTTATAAATATATGAAGCAATAAAAAATAAAGATGATTTCACAATGCTGAATCTCAGATTGAAAGAGAGAGAGAGAGAGAAAAGGGAGAATTCATACATGTGAATTTCCATCAAGATCTTGTACTAACTTTAAAACTTACCATAAACATAGTAATTCACCCAAAAAAACGTAAAAGGAATACATTTACATATATGATAGAGCGCTTCAAGCCAGATATCAGCAAAACCCACTAACAAAGATTATGCTACATTCATAATTTCCTAGAAAGTGCAAGACATCATTGCAATCTAGACATAGTATTGGCAGTGGTAAAATGTTTTCCCAAGAAAGCTAAAGCAAAGAACACTTACTAGGAATCCGCTTTGGCCGATTAAAACAACCAGACAAAAGTTTGACATCCATTTCTTGTTTAGGCTTGCAGATTGCAACCAAATTATATTGCTTCCGAGACTGCAAGGACAATTTATTCTTTTCCCGAAAACTGCTTATACTAGAACATGGCATGCTGCTAAGATCCTTGTTACACCAGCTCCCCTAGGAATTAAAACAACTAACATAAGAAACAAAATGGTGGAATAAGAAGTTATTACAATCTTGTAGAAGTATGTATAAAGGCACACATCATCTACAAAAAAAAACAGATGCACACAATATAATATTAAAATCATGTTGAACCAAAACAAAAAAAGTTCATTATACTATGCAACTTCCATTGGGGCTAAAGCCTAAAGGTAGAAAATAGTACTTCCTCTTTTCACCAAAAAGAAGGTAGATTTTGGCTTTTTGGATTACATTGAGAGGGTTGATTGTAATTTTTTCAAGATTGACGGAATGCAGTTTTGAGTCTGTTATTTGTTGATCACTGTTTTTGACTACTTACTGAAGGGAACGTAAGCTAACCAGTGGCCACTAATAAATAGACTGTAGGCTGCTTTTTGGTACATGGGATAGGACAAGACTAGACGGAACAAAACTCACTGTCCCATGTTTGGCGCGATATAAGACAAGACAAGAGCTCACTATTTCACGTTTGGCGCGACATGGTTTGAACGAAAATTGGGACAACGTGGGACAGCATGGGACAAAAAAGGCTTTTTTTTTATTTTGGTGGAACAAGATGGGACAAGAACGAGACAAGAACTAAACTACTACTAATCTACACTCGTTTGATATATAACCTTAATATGGTATTTGTTTTTAATGGCCACCTCCGCTAGCCGCGACCGCCACCACCACCACCACCGGCGGCATATATAATATATTTTTTTTTTCCACCTCGAGCCTTATGCCTCGCCTCACAGAGAGAAAGCGTCCCGCCTCACGTTTCTGTACTTTAAAACCTTGGGTCTTGCAACCTCATTCAACCTCGATTGTTGGAACTGTTGCAAAAGTAAAAAAAAAATGGTCTTTGAGGACCCTAAAGAACAGCCCCTAGATAAAGAGTGTAGTCATCAAAACAGGAACCTAAGCCACTAGTTTGAGACCTTAGAAATGTCATCAAGTGAAAAAGATGGAGGTAGAAGAGATGGTGCATGCCACCTTGGAATCAAAGGTGATGTAAAGAAATCAATATCCTTTGTCTTTCCAATGATCCAATCTTTCTAGTGAGAAAGCAAAACATAATTTGTCATATGTATAAGGATGACAAAGCGCTAATGACGTCACAAGTATAAGTTTTTAATTATGAAATATTAATGAATCAAATGACACTAGATGGTTTTCTGTATCAAATAAAAGTAGGTTGCCATCAAATCCTAGTGGGAGAAGTAGAAATATATAATCATGGGCGTTTGGTGAGACTCCTTCGAGAAGAAATTGGGTGAATGCATTCACTACCGGTTCTTAAAAATGCATTTAGAACCCATGTATTAATTCAAACTTCAAAGTTGTTCCTTTTGGTTTAACCAATCCTCTGGCCATTTCTCGATCACTGATGAACAAAGTTTTGAGCCTTCTTTCAAGAGATTCATATAATCATATTAGTATTCTCTGATGAATTGGTTTACAATTCTGGTTGTTGGACCAAGTCTACTACTTCTAAAGAAAGCCTTACAATGCTTGAAGAAAAACAATTATATTCAAAGAGGAGTTATGTCAATTGCGTGTATCACTTGAGCCATGCCATCTCCAGAAGAGGAGCAACTACATAAGAGAAAAAAAAATGCTTGATTGACCCGTATTCATTACCTAAAAACATTTGAAGAGATTTCTTGGCAGTGTATTACAAAGCATTAATCCACTCTATGGATTATTGAGTAAACCCCTTATTGGTATGCAAAAAATATTTAATTGAATTAAGGAGACTTTAACAAACCTTACTACTGCCATACTGAAGGCTCATGGCATTGCACATTTTTTAATGCCTTTTGAGCATATAGGAGTTGTACTGATTTTAATTTGGGCAGTAATACTTTCTTGGATTTCGCCAAACTAAAGCTTCCAACGTCACTTGATTAATCCCTCTTAATTCAGCAATTAGTTGCTAACTGAACTAGAGAGAACATTTAACGCCTAGGAGGCCAATCAAGCGGCCCTAAGCAAGAGCTTTTGTAATACCATCTTGTAGCTTAGTTGTTGCATGTTGGTACAGTGGTCCAGTAATTGGAAGGATTGCAAAGGTTGCAGAGCTGCTTTCTTAATTTTAAACCTTGATAGCAAGGTTTGTTTTAAGGATTCGGAGTATCCAAAAGACTGGAGTCCCTTCATAAGCAGTCATATAGGCCTTAATCACAGTTAATCCATAATTAGAGGAATGCAGTTTTGAGTTGCCAGTAGTTGGTTAACTAGTTACTAACTTTTGGATTGAAGGCCAGTTAACCAATGTAAGTAGATCTGAGAGTCGAAATTTAAGAAGTAGGAATGACAAACTTCTCCCATTAACTCTTTTTTATTCTTCCAAACACTTCCACGAATTCTTGAAGAATATTAACATATAATTTTTCTATTTGTTCTATATGTTACTCTCACTATTAAATAAAAACAAAAGAGATACAATATACAAATAGAGAAAAACATTTTTTTTACGTTGAATATCAAAATTGATGATTTCTTAATATCAAAACTGATATGGATTTTTAACTTTTCTATACAACCTGTAGATGTTATATACAAAATACCTTGTCATTTTTGTATATGACAAATACCATATCCAAATTCAGATCAAAGTGTAGTTCCTTTTGAGGGAGAGAGCATAAAGTTCTATCATCTACTAATTAAAACTTCTTCCCCATGCTTCGAGCTTTAATATCAATCAAAATTTAGCCAATTGTGTCAGAAATAAGATGCTACGTGATCAAAAACTATAAACAAATGTTGCAGACAGTAATAACTACGAGAAACAGAATTATGCAGTAAGATCAATAACTTGGAAGAAAGGGGTTTCCAGAGAAAATATATGTGTGCTCCATTGTTGATAATGGTTGGTCGGATAATCTGTGGCTTCTCTCACAGAGTGGCAAAATTTGATACCTCCATCAACATCAGAAGGTGAGACCAAAAGGCCTTTGGCCTAGTGGTATCGTAGCCCTTGGCCTTCTAGGAGGTCAGGGATTCAAAACCTCACCACAGGTGAGGAGGGGGTGTGAGTTTATTTGTTGCATTTGCCGTATATAAATATTATATACTTCAAAAAACATCAAAAGGTGAGGATTGACTGGATTTGCTGTCGATAAGTTTCTAAAACCTAAACGAACTATTCACGCGGGTTGTACGCCTCGAACCCTAAAGTCTTAGTACCGCCTTAGACCTGCTTCAACAGTATGAGGCCTACAACCCAACAAACCTAGCAGAGCACCGCCTCAAGAACTTTTTTTGACTGCCTCAAGAACATTTTTAGCAACCATGGCAAGGCCTGTCGTTTCTACTGTCTCATTGAATATAAGTATCCTAAGAATCCATATGGAGTAAAGTGGCCAACCTTGGAGAACTCACTTGAGTTGAGTTGATCAAATGGAGTAACGGACTATAGGCAACATTGGCTTCCCCCAGTGTAACAACACCTTGTAGCCATTTTTATTAACAAAGAGTTGTAACAACACCTTGTAGCCATTTTTATTAACAAAGAGTTGCAAATGCTTGAAATAAAAGGTCACGAGACCTAGAATTTGCAACCATTCGATCCTAACATAGCATCCACACCACCCAGAGGTAAAATTCTTGTAGGAGCTTAGAATTCCAAGTTTCCAGATCCCATTCAAAGAAAGGACCTCCCGACTCTCTACTTTGAATCCTGTTGCTACTTGATTGATATGGTTGTGTAGTATTGTAGTGTTTACGATATCCTTCACTATCCTATGTGGAGTCTCAAAAAATTCATCTATTAATATTTTAAAGAGGCTTACTATTCATTGGAGTGGATTGTCGGTTTGATGTCCAGGTCAGCGTGGTCGCAACTTGAGAAGGTCTAGATAATGAGGTATATCCGATCTTCTCCATTTTTTTCTAGGTTTCATGCAGCCTATAAGCATAAAATTTTTAGATGAACCTAGAAAGTGTTTGGATCTAAAAAGTTTTTTTAACGATTTAGAGCCTTCTGTAATAGGGATGGACTTCTATCATTTGTGACCATCTAAGACTTGGAAGCCAAGTTTTGAATAAGAAAGCATAAATCAGTGAACTTATATAGTATTCCCCATCTAAGCAGTTAATGTCGTCAGTAGCGAAAATAGTGGTCTGGACCTTGATTTGGAATAGCGGTTATAGCGGTAAGATAGCGGTAAATAAAATATGATCATAAAATAAATACGAATATATAATTATATACATATCACGTCAAACACTTAGAAATATTGTATGCCTAAAACATGTCAAGTCAAACAATTCCAAACCACACAAGCAACATAGTCTAATACATATCAAGTCAAATAGTTCAAACCACACAAGCAACATAGTAATAAGTTTATAAAGTTCATAAACAACCTAGTAATAGAGAGAGCTAAGACTCGATCAGGTTAGAGTTGAGAGAGAGCTGAGAGTTGAGAAATAGATGACCTAATTCAATTTTTTCCTTTTTCGTTTAATTGTTTGATTAATTTGTTTCTTTTTCTTTGTAGGTTTCATCTTAAATAGCCCACACCAAAAGCCCAAGTCATTGTTTTAAGTTTAATCCAAAAAAGTCTCCAACGAAATAGCGGTATAGCGGCCACTATTTGGAAGTAAGATAGCAGTAAATTGCGGTAATAGCAGCCACTATTTGTGGTACCTTGGTACCTCTATTTAGACCACAATACCTGGACCGCTATTTGATATAGCCGCTATAGCATGCAATTGACTGCCCAGTTCCCATTTCCCTCATCTCTCTTTATAGCCAGCCATATATGATATCTAGCATTCCATTAACACATGCTCGACTCCTGAGAGATGGTGTTGATGTTAGTGCTACATAGAGCACATGGGAAAACATAAGTTTGTGGCACTAGAGAGTCGATGGAGAGTGATTTGAGCCTCTTCTTGGTTCTTCCGTTCATCATCTTAATTTTTATTAGTTAAATGGTTTCTTCCACCTCTATGGCCTGATATTTCCTTGTTTTATTACTTGTGGCTCTTAGATATGAGGTTTCTTCCGCTGATGGTGATTAATATAATGCTCATAATTAAAAAAATGGAACTCCTTTTGTTATGTGCATTGATACCACCCGTACGCTGCACTGAAGGACTAGATTCACACATACTACTTTTAGAAGTAATGGACACACGTGCAAGGGTGGAGAAGTGGTTAGTACTACAACTCCCCTTACCCTTTTTCAACCAAGCTTTTCTCTAGCCTCATCAATCTACCAAATCAATTAGCATCTTTTAGAGTCTCGGGTCTATTCCTTGAATCCAAGCAGAATATCAATAATCAACTCTTAAGTCACACAGACAACTACCTATAAGAAAGGGTTAATTTTAAAAGCAACATTCTTTGCACAACCCAATCCTTCATCTCTTTGACTGTCGTACTTATTCATTGTGCTCTTTTTTTGCAAGATCTTGAGGTCTCCAATCTATTATCCTTCAAACAAAAATAAGACATGACTTCTTGTTTTAAACTCATGCAAAGTCAACTTGGGTGAACCCTTGGGGGTAGCTTAACTGCCCATATTACCAGGTCTTATGTTGTTCCCCAGTGGTCACCACTCACCATTTCGAGTTCCCTCGGTGCCAATGGAGGTTTTCCAGCTGTTAACTTCAGGAGCCCGTGGGATTAGTCGAGGTGTGCGTAAACCGGCCTGGACACCCATGGTTATAAAAAAAAGTCAACTCAGGTGATATTAAAGCCACAAAAATATTCTTCTGCTTCACATTCTAAATCCATCATAGCTAAGAAATGTTTTTGATACAGGTACTAAGCGATGCGAACACAATTTATAGCATTTTCTAATCCATGTGTCGGAGTTTCTATCAAGATAATTTCATCTTCAAGATTCAGGATATACCCTCAGGCTTCATTTTTTATTGGCAGTTTTATTCCCAGCTCGAAGTGCCACCAACACACGGTCAATATTGATGACTTTTGGCTTTCATACAGCTCCATCTTCTCGTAAAATCCCTTCTATGGTAATTAGAGATGTGCATTTTTCAAATGCAACTTCTGAGTGAGATCGTCTTGTTCTTATACATGTGCCTACAGATTGTTCAAACCTATGGTAATTGGTGGTCATCCCATTGATCATACAAGCTCTTGTTCCAAATTGTAGGACTGTAGAATCATAGAAAGTCTAAAAGAAAACGTCATCATTCTTGTTGATGTATTACAAGCCTTTACGGTAGCGTTTGGTAAGCAAACATGATTGGGCTAGAGAGGACAGAACTCGACAGGACAAGACTGGACAGAACAAGTGTCTATCTGGTGTTTGGTACAACTAGAACAGGACAGAACCAGACAAGTTGCCCACAAAAGTTATTTGATGATCTTATATATCATATAATAGTTATAATTAACACAAACAAACTAAATGATTTAATTTATAAAAAAAATTATGCAATTTTCATATACATAAATACATACATATATAATAGTACCAAATTTGAATGAAAAATTTGATATAATTGATGGTAGTTCGAAAAAAGCTCGATTCGTACAAAGAAGAAATTATGTTTTATTTGGTTTGGAAGATCCTTATAAATTAACGAAGGCATGGTAAAGATTCTTGCAACAACAATGGTTGTTGGTAGATGATGGTGGTTGTGGAGGACGTGAAGATGATGGGAGTGGTGGTGGTTACGATTCACAATGGTGGAGGAGGTAGTTGTGGCCGATGTAATGGTGGTGGTGGTGGGCAACAATAGTGGTAGCCAATGTTGGTGAGCGGCAATGGTAGCGGTAGCCAATGGTGATGGTGAGCAGTGGTAATGGTAGCCAATGGTGGTGGTGGTGCGCAGTGGTAGTCGATGGTGGTGATGGTGGTGGCGGTGGTTATGGTGGAGACGAGGTGGCCCACGGTGGTGGTGGTGGTGGCAATGGACCGTAGACGGTGGTGGTCGGTGGTCGATGGCCGGCAGTGGTTAAGGAGGTGGCAATGGATGGTGGTGGGCAGCAAAAGTTAGGGTTTTTTCCCCAAAAGTTCAATGTTTAAGGCCAAACAAATAAACAACAAAAGTTTGTAAATCAGATACACAACAGTCCACTTGCTAGCATTGGCTTAAGAGCTCGTGACACACAAGAAGTCTAATCCCAAAAGGAATTGACTTAAATCCTTGTCTGTTTGTGCAATATCCCATCCTAAAACTAACATGTTACACTTTCGGCGCAAAAACTTCAAACAAGTTTAAACAAGATTATATATGTTTAACAGCATACCAACTCTACCAAGCCATCTCCTAGTTAAGATGGTAGATTGAAGAATGAAGATAATTTACTTGGGAAGTTGGATGACAATAACTATATTGAAATTTAGAGTAAATATAATTAGAAATATGGATGACGAAGAATAAACAAGTGTTGTACAACAAAATGGGAATCAAAATTGAGAAAACCCTCCATTACGGCCTGTCTATATTGGTTTTTCGTAGAGATTAATGTATCAAATGGCTTCTTATTTGCTCCCATAGATGGTATAAAACGATGGTAGCACTCCAATGTCCCAAAGAAGTGACCACTATTACAGACTATTTTTGCTATAAAGAGTCCTATTTCAAAATTTTGACCTTTAGATAAATGGGTAACGATGAAGTAAATCGAGCAGCCGGATAATAATCAGAAGACAGATTAGATCGAGCATAGGGATAATCTCCTACCAAACTTTAAGTAAATCTAAGCGAAACCAGAACAAAAAAAAAATTTGCTTTTGCGTTAGCTTCTGAAATTTCAAACAAATAAACAACTTAAATTCACAATGGCTAACGATATTTCAACAATTTATCATTCCAAAGTCGAAATAGAACACAAATTTGTAAAAAAAAAAAAAAAACAGATATCACCAAGTCGGGGTAAAATTATACCTGAAAAACAGCAGAATCGGGGAGGACGTAACTGAAAGTAGATTGAACACCGCCGGAAGAGTCGCTAGAAAAAGCGACGTGAACAAGCTTCCTCTGAAGAGTATAGCTAGAATCGGCGGAGGCTTCAAGGTCTCCCTTTAGCTGCTTCACACTCCACTCGCTGCCGGAGCATCTGCAACCAAGTGTAAAAACTCCCATTTCCGGTGCTTTTTCTGAATCGTTGAAACCAAAGCAACGGCGGTGTGTGAGAGCGTTTGTTGTGTTAGTGTTGATGAAAAAACCCTAGTTCGTTTCAAAAGACATTTTTACCCCTAAGTTTAACAGCCTTCAAATGGTCAAGGTCTATGATATCTATAGTGAAATGTGATTTTAGTCAAGGCAGCGTTTGGTCCGCAAACATAATTGGACAGAACAGAACAGGACAAGAGGGTAGGACTGGACTGGACAGGACTGGACAACACAAGAGTATGTCTGGTGTTTGATACGACTAGGAATTGACATGACAGAACTAGACAAGCTACCTCTAAGAGTTATTTGATGATTTTAAATGTTATATAATAGTTATAGTTAACACAAATAAAGTAAATAATTAAAAATTTTAATTTATCAATATGTGTACACAATTTTCATATAAATGAATAGATACATGTATAATGGTACCAAATTTAAATGAAAAATTTGATATAATTGATGGTGGTAGTGGTGGTGGTGGAGGTGGTTTTGGTTATGATGGAGGTGGTGGTGGCCGACGGTAGTAGTGGCAATGGGTGGTGGTTATGGAGGTAGAGGCAATGGTGATTGGTGGACGGCGGTGGTTATAGAGGACATGAAGATGGTGGATTGTGGTGGTGCTGGCGGTTGACAACAGTGGAGAAGGTAGTTGTGGTTGATGTAGTGAATATAGTGGTGGTGGTGGTTATGGTGGAGGTGAGGTGGCAATAAATGGTGGTGGTCGATGGTGTGGAGGAGGTTGTTGCAGTAGAGGAGGAGTTGGAGGTGGTCAACGGTGGTTGTGGAGGTAATGGAGAAGGTTGTTGCGGTATAGGAGGATTTCAAGTGGAAGAGGAGGTGTCGGTGGTGGTGGTGGCAACCGAAACTAGAGGTGATGACCATTCAAACAAATACCATATTAAGGTTATATATTAAACTAGGGTAGATTAGTATTATTTTAGTTTATGTCTCATTCTTGTCCCATCTTGTTCCACCTATTTTGGTGAAACAAGAAAAAACCTCTTTTGTCTCATGTTGTCCCATCTTGTCCTAGTTCTTGTCCTTGTCCCATGTCACGTCAAACATGGGACAGTGGGTTCTTGTTATGTCCCATGCTGCACCAAACATGGGACAATGAGTCTTGTCCCGTCCTGTCATGTCCCATCCTATGTACCAAACGCAGCCTAAGGTTTACTGTAATGATGGCCAAAAGACCGGTCCTAATCGGTCCTAAGCTTTTCAAAACCGGTTATAACCGGTCTCGACGTAACCGTTCTTGATCCATTAAGACCGATCAAGGTTGTTCACAACCGGTTATGGGCCGACAGTCCCGTCCGATCCCGGTATTAAAAAATAATTTTTTTAATGATATATATTTTTAAAACATTATAAAATTTGTAATTGGGTTACTCAAATATACTTCAAAAATGCGTTTTATTATAATTAAAATTGCATTGTCTTACAAAAATACATTATAAAATTATTTGAAAATACATTTATTCATCAATCATCATCAGTATCTTATGTCCGATTGATTTGAAGAGTTACGGTGTCTTGAGTTCTTCTAATAGCTTATTGGTCATCAAGATCATCAATGTCGAGTTCCTCATCATCATCATATTGTGAGTAAGTGTCGTCGGTATTGATAGTTGGAGGCGTGCTTAGTCCAATGGCGATTTCATTTTCTTCCAAATTTTCTTCCACCGCTTCAATCTTCATCTATAAAGATGTCGTGTGTTAAATTCTATCAACGTTATCCAAATAATCCTTCAAACAGATGCAACACTCCATGAACTCCAGGCTTAGTCTTGTCTGATGTATGGAAATGATCCTGCCACTAAGAGAAAAAGCAGACTCTGAAACTACGGTGCTATCTCGCATTGTTAGTATATCATGTGCGATGCACGCCAAAACCGGGAATTTAGGTTGTTTTTGTTTCCAAAAACGTAATAGATCAATTTTTTCAAAATCTTCGACATATTTGCGGGACATGCGGCAATAAAGTTAGTATGCACATGCATATTTAGTTCACCAAAATCGTTATCAAATCGATATTTTTTTTACTCGATTCATTTAAAACCTTGTTCATTAAATTAGTCATCAACTTTTTTCGACTTTATCAATGACCATTAGAAGAAGAACTAGAACCCGCAAACCCATGACTTGAATAGCTTTGTTGTTGGTTTCTTCCTCCATAAAAATGTTTATAATGATCAAATAAATCTTGAAAATCACGATTAAACAAACGTTTTGAAAAGCCCAAAATCATACAAATCTGAATTAGATCTTCAAGAATTAAGAACAAGATGAAGATTAAAGAGAATATGATCACCAAATCTTTTGTAGATTTCTTGAGAGAATTTTCAGCACTAATCAGAATGATTACAGAATGTTAATGACAAATTACAAGGCTAATGACTATTTATACTAATGAAAGCATTAAACCTATCTATTACAAAGCTCAATAAAATGGAGAACTTGAATACAATCTTTAACGCACATACTTGAACCCAACATTCTCCCCCTTTGGATTCAAGTTCAAACTCTCATAAATCTTGTCTTTCTGAGTCCGAGAATTTTCTCCAGCCTCCTTAGTGCATTCCGATATTGAATTTTCTCCTCAAGTAGATTCAGGGCATTGATCCACAAATATCTATCTTTTGAACTCATCCTCTCCGACTTCGCAACTTCATCATTGTTTACTCTCCTCGTGTCAAGTGCCCGTCTCACCAGTCTAATAGTACCATCAGAATATTTGTTTAACTCGCTGAATCTCATAAACTTCTTTACTTGATGCTCAACATAATATATCACTCCAAACTCTGGTTGTTCAAGAATCATGTAAACTGGATAGGCATCAATGTCTTCTAACTCTTGATCAAGTCTCTTCAAATTGATGATTCTCTGATTATCTTCAAGACCCATCTGAACATCACTAACCATAGCCACCTTAACATGACTGCGCATAAACCTTTTAATTGCACTAAAGGCAACAAGAGCTCCATCTTTTCTGTTTGTCATGTTTCAGATTTCATGATACATATACTCCAGGTCTTCTAAATATAAGTTTGAGAAGTCAGCTTCACTAAATCTCCATACCTTACCATCTTGCCGTGTCACCGTGAATACTGGATACCAGAATCTTAGAAGTCTTTGAGCATCAATCTGTTTAATTGACACAACTCGATGTTTGGTCCTTACTTCACTGATAGGGATACGCTTGGCTTTAAGGAAGTGCTTGTACTCCAAGCGATATTCTTTGGTTTCCTTGTGGATACCAAGAATTTTATCACCACTTAGAGCTTTACGATATCGGAGGAAGATGCCAAAGTAGATGTCTTCAAGATAAGGCTCTCGGATCCTAGCCCAGTCATATCCTGGAACATTAGCTCGAATAACAAATGGCACGTAATTCTTTGAAAAAATCTCAATTGGATCAAAAGGCTCTCTAGGAGTAGGAGTTTCAGGTGCACCGGCTTCAACTGCAGTGGAGGGTTCCGGCAATGTCTGACGATCACCTTGAAATGGGAATATTGGGTCTTCATCATTGATGTCAGCTTCAAAGTCAAGGTATAACCCAGATGACTCGTCAATATTCTCAATATCTTCTTCGAAATCTTGTTCTCTACCCAGTACAGTAGCAAAAACGTCATTAAACCTGACATTGGTCGACAAGTCCAGTAACAACCTTGTTCCTACCGTGGAGTCCACCGGCTTTTCAACCATTGGCTCGATCACTGGACTTGTCTCCAACTCTTCATCATCTTCCACAACAATCGCCTCAATGATTTTTTTCCTTGTAGATTCCGGGGCAGAACCTTCAACATTCACGTCTTGAGTAGCTGACTCTCTTTCAACACTTAGAGCTTGAGCAGACGACTCAGCCACCCTCTGTCTTTTCCTCTCCCCCTAATAATGATTTGGATCTTCCGGGTCATCATGCCTTCTTTTGAGTGTGGTGGCCTGAGCTCTGCAAGTCTCTTTTAGAATAGATACCCGTTCAGAAAGGGCATCCATTGAGCTTTTAAGAACTTGGGTGTTTGATGTGATTAACTTACTAACTTTGGTGAAGCTAGAAGCAACCACATCCTAAAAGGCCAAAAACTCTGAGGCTCCAACAGGGGGGTTTTCATCAATTTGTTGTTGCAGGAGCCCAACCAAATCTGTATCTTCTGCATCGGGATTTTGGGATGCCGTCAATTTAGCATATAGCAGGGATTTGAGTTCGTCCACCGATTGCTCTTGTACCGTCGGAGGCTCAGGTACAGGCGGTGGTGATGGCGCAGATGGTTGCTCTTATTCTACTTGCTCCTTCCCCTTCAACAGTCTTTTGATACTTGCAATTTGAGCATCCATATTGTCTTGAACAACCTTTAGGGCGCCGTCCAGATATTCTCTTGACACAAAGTCTGGTAAACTAACTCCCGGATCACTTAGATTACCAGTTGAGACAATAGTTGAATAAATTGTTGTGCCTACGTTCAGTGTTGGCATAGTGATAGCACTGGTAGGACTTCTGACCGGTCCTTGTGGGAGGTCAATCGACACCACTCTGGTTGTTCCGGCTAGTTCACGAAGAACTGTAATTTGAGCAACAGATGTTCGAGACTCTTGTGTACCTATGTGTATCGGCTCTAGACTCGAGGTGCACAAAATCGAAGTCGTAGGCTGGGGTAGCGGCCTACTTGTTTCAATAACTACATTCTCCAAGTGAGAAGTAGATAGGAGATGTGCTAAGTCCCCATGTTGAAATGTAACAACTGGTTGTTGAGAACTAATTGAGTGGTCAGGTTGGGTGTGCAAATGCATAGCTGGGCTAGCTATGTCTTCTTCAATACCAACATTCAACGAATGAATGTCGATAGCAGATGTGGGTGCCCAACTATGTGTATCCGCTAGGATAGGAGCTTTATATTGATTTTGTGCTCTGCTCTCATACTCACCATATTTTTCTACTTCCCGTTCACTCAACCTCTCAGCATTTTCTACTTCAGCTCCCTCATCTCCTCCTTCTACTGGAATATCAGACATGTCTTCCAGCATTCGATCATAATCGTCAGGTCTGGCTCTAAAGTCGTC